GAACCGAACCGATCAAATACTATAGGAACCGAACCGAAAAAAGATAAAGTCCAAAATCATAGGAACCGAACCGAAAAATTCGGTTCGGTTCAGATCGGTTTTCCCGGTTTTACGGTTCTTAGTCTCAGGCCTAAATAAGTCTGATAAGCTGAATAACAGTGTTACCGAACGAGCTCTAAGATCGCATCCTCTTTCTATTACTTGCTATTTACGACAAATGGGTGGTATACTGGTATGATTCGAAGATAACATTACTTCTAGTTCAAGGAAAATAATTGTATCTCCACTACAAAAAATACAGAATTAACACGAATTGACTTACAATTTTAACATTACTTCTAGTTCAAGGAAAATAATTGTATCTTCACTACAAAAAATACAAAATTAACAAGAATTGACTTATAATTTCATGTCAAATAACTAATGCAGAATAACTAATGCAGAATGTTTTTAGCACGGATTTGAGATATATAACAAAAAAAAAAATCTCAGTCAATTTGTGTTTTTTGTAGTGCTCGTACTTGGTTAAATAAACTTTCTCTAGCCATTATATTTATGGCCATTATATTTATTTGAAATTTATAAATAGAATACCTTTATAAAAGTACGTATTTTAAACAAAATGATGACAAACGTGATCAATCAAGAAAAAGTTTCGACTAGTTTTGTTGGATGGAGGGTGTAATTATTTAAGGCCCTGAGGGTAATTATGTTATTTTCATACGGAAATCACTTGTTGAATACCTTTATTTTATTTTCATACGGAAATCACTTGTTTTAAGGCCCTAAGGGTATTTAATTACCATTATTATACTTTCAAAAAAATTACCATTATAATACTCAGGAATAAATTCATAAAAAGAAGTTACAACAACATTTAATATGGAGACAATATATGTAAGTGAACAAAATTGAATATTTGAATCTAGAATACACTAATTTAATGTCAAAAAAGAATTAAAGAGGAGAGTAATTGTTCAGGGATTTACATATTACTCCAGCTAGGTGAGGAGACACATTAAAGAAGACTGCAATTAATTCTAGCTACTTTTCCAAACATCAGATACACTTGATCCAAAAATCTGCCAGAAACCTCATCTTGCCTGCATGCTTCTGTCTCCTTGTCCAGAACTGAATCTTAATATTTCCATTAATTCCTCCAAAACACCCCCAGCTTCTCAGATCTGTAATTCTGGCCGTTTATTTTGACTTTCTTGATCTTTATTTTTCTTAGTGAGGTAAAATCAAAAGAAGAGAAAAAGGGTAATTATAATTATAAATCACATAATACAGTAGAGGAAAAGAGAAAGGATAGTAATAATAATCAAGTTTGGTAGAGAAGGATTGAGTAGTTGGGAAGATTGGGAGGAGGGCGGCGGTGGAGGGATGTGGAAGTAGAACGGAAAGTAAGGCATTATGGGGTTTGGCGGCGGCGGCGTTCCCCCTGATGGGAAAGGGTTGTACGGCGGGGGAATATACCCTCCGATCACACATCCAGCTGAAGGGTAGTTGTAGCAAGATGGCGGCGGCGGTGGTAGTGATGTTGGTTCTTGGCGGGGTGGGGGTGGTGAAGAGTAGTAGTAGGGTTCTGGTGAGCGAGGAGGTGGCGGCGGAGGTGGGCAATTGGCGGTGGCAGGCGGCAAATATGGCGGCGGAGGCGGTGGTGATGGGGGTGGGGGCGATGGTGTGTCACATGGGTTGTCACAAGCTGCACACATGATGCATTCAACTTGGTACTTTGAACCAACCCAAGTTGTATTTGTTGCCCCTACCATTAATGGCTTCCAATACAATTCCTCCAATACCATGACCATCATCATCACCACCATAGAAGTCATCAAGAAAGAGACATTTTTTACAATACCCATTTCTTGAATCCTAAAAAGAACTCAAGAAAGTGGAGAATTCAAGAACAAGAAGAAGAGGATTTTGGTATATAATCAATCCTTTTGAAGAGGTCAATCAAAGTGGTATGAGAGAATTTGAGGGAGTGATTGAAGAGTTGAAAGATTTGGCAAAAGAGGTGTAAGGGAGAGAGAGTGAAAAGAGGAGGACAATGAAGTAGTGGTGGTGGTTGGGAGGGTGGTGGAGGGGTCAGTTTTGTTGAAGCCAGATCACATGCCTATCGTTTTGTGATGTGTTAAATGTTTTCTTTAATTGCTTAAAAGTTATTTAAAGAAAAACAGGAAAAGAGAAGAAGGTGGTGGAAAAGGCCTAGTCCTTCCAAATGGGAAGCTAAGAAGAAATTGGATGGTTAGCACTTGGAAGTAAGGAAATGTAGGATTTCTGAATTCTCTTGCCTGTCCAAGAGGGAAAACTTACACATATTCAATTCACTTTCTCTCATAAAGAGAGAATTGATACTCTTTACCCGCACGGGTAGCTCAATTGGTAGAGCAGTGGGAAAGTTGAATAAATGATCAAGGATCGCAACCGTGTGGAAGTCACAGTTCCTATGTGCTGGGTTGGGCCTTGGTGCGCACGGGTAAATGGTCTACCACGGTTATGATTGATTGAGTTACCGTGATTTACAACATCTCATGTATTCTGTCGGGACGTGAGGGCTCTTAAAATTGGGGATTTAACTTTTTGGACAAAAAGTTAGACAAAAAAAAAAAGAATTGATACTCTTCAATTTTCTACTTACACATATTCACTTCACTTTTTCTCAAAAAGAGAGAATCGATACTCTTCAATTTTCTCATGTATACTGTACAAGCTCTAACGAATAAGCCATAATTGAAAGGGGAAAAAAAGGAGTATCATACTTTTGTCTAATCCTAATATTTCAAAATTTAAAAAAAAAAACTACTCCTATTTTTGCTCTTTTTTCATACTATACTCTTCGGAAAGTACACGAGAGACCATGTAGACTACATATCAATAGATCAAGTTAGGTTCTTTCAGATCACTATTCTACCACACTAGAATATATATTCTAGTCGAGTTGAATAGACCGGGAAACTTGTGTTAGACAAAATCAAAGTCAAAATACATGAAACTACTAATATGACTATTTCATACTACCTCCGTTCTTAAATAAATGCAACACTTTGACTTTTACACTATTCACATGTTCTACTTTGACTACGTTTTATTTATTAATGTAATAATATTATTTTATGAAAAAAATATTGTTACACCCATTGTAAATTTTCATAATCTAATTTTTTAAAAATTTTTACTAATACAAAATCATTTATATTAATGATCAAAGTTGTGTCTCGGCAAGTGTGAAATGTTGACAGTTGCATTTATTTAAGAACGGAGGAAGTACTAATTTATGAACTGAACAGAGTATCTTATACCACACTACTACACTAGTCTAATATGGAGGGTTTGTAATATAGTGTAACATAGCCACATATGTATGTGTTCGTAATATATATATATATATGTTTATTGCGTGTATGGTGTTTTATATATATATAGGGCGTGTTTGACATCCAGCGGTTAGCGATTAGCGGATAGCGGATTATGTTAGCGGATTGTCAATAGCGGTTTCAGTCAGCGGGTTTGACTAATGGAATAAATTGGCGGATTGTCCGAAGATGTTTGGTAATTTAGCTGATTGGCTATAAAATTAGTAGAAAACGTTATTTTTCAAAACGCCAACCCAAAACTCTACTATTATCAACGTTTTCATTACAACATTTTCGTCCAAAAACGCTAGTGCTAAACCGCTATATACCAAACAACTTTTTCACTTATTGAAAACGCTGAAAGTGATCAAACCGTCATTTTTCGGCTGAAATGACATTTACCAAACACCTCCATACAAAACTTTTATTGAATAGAGTTTTGTTAACGGGTCAAGATGACATCAATAGGTGAAGATGACATTTGCCGCACCCGGCCCATTTATCAAAATAAATAATGGACATGGGTATGTGTCTAGGTTAACGGAATTAAATGTGGATTCATGTGTATCATAAAGGCAGGGTCATGTCTGAATCCAGACACGACCCATTGGTAGACCTAGTTTGGACATTGGACTATGTATGGCCAATCAAGCTTACTTTAAGTTGATATTTAATTAATCTCCATATTTATTTAGCATGTAGTTTTGTTTGGATGAAGAGATGAAGTCGGCTATACAAAAAATTTAATATATAAATTTGTGAATTTATATAATGTAAAATTCTGAATTTAGTGTGTCAAACTCTCTTGTGATATACTGTATAAATTATGCGCATTAACCTTTGTGATTTAAAAATATGTCAAACCCCATGTGTTATAAAATTAGTAATTCTCGAATGAAGTAGAAAATAAGAGAAAAGAAATGATAGAGCATGAAATTTAATTGAAAAATCAATCTACATAATAAGAAATACTACGTATTTTTTGTGAAAACTTTGGAAATTTTGGAAAATAAACAAAACAAATAGATATTGCACAAAACTATCTTCACCAGGTGAGTGGCTTGAAGGCTCACAAGAATTTGACCCACCTAACCTTACCTTGTATTTTCGCAATGTTCGTAGTATTACCTACTCCGTAGTATTTCTAAAATTTGATGCACGGCCACATAGGCTAACCCTCATTCACCTTTATTATCAGCTATTTACAATTTTGATGACTTTCTGAGAAAAAACAAGTAAACAACATTTTGTTAACATATTGAACCATTGTTTTATATCTATAATAAGCAGAATATTCAAAGGTAACTTTATTTTGAAGTAATAATAAAAATAAATTGTTTTTCCATCATTTGCAATGGAGTCAAAGATTCATTATTTTTTGGCTTGATAATATGATTGAATAAAACAAAATGACTCACCTAACTGTTTGCGCTTCTTTGTTATGAAGCAGTGGTCAGTCAATGCAATTTTGGACGCGATTTTCACTATGGGTCATCCGGAAACAGTCTCTTTGTGCTTTAATACAGGGGTAAGACTGCGTACATCCGACCCCCCTTACCCCATCGTAGGTGGGAGTCTTTGCGGCACTGGGGTAAATGATGATTGATTGAACCATTGTTTTATACAGAGTTCTGTACTGAGGCAATGTTTCCATGTGTAAAGATTTAATTACAAGGCCAAGATGCAATTACATGTAAATGGTGAGCTTCATAGCATGTTTATGTAGTCATTTGAATGTATCATTTTTTTTTTTGGATGAAATGTAAATATATATTAACACCCAGAAAAACTATACATCACATATTATAGATCTCCTAACGCCTCCCCCACCCTCACATAATGTGAGGGTGAAAGGGGATTTGTATTCGATCTATTCTATGCCAAAATAACCAAGTATAATACTTGGCCTATCAAGAGGTTCAAAGATACATCAATGCCTAAAGTCCAAGACCTGCGGCATCCATTATGTCCATGTCATGATGTCCCAAGTGCCCAAGCCTCAGCATCCAAGATAACTATGCCTCAGCGCACCAAGCAATCATGTAGCAATCTGTCCATATCGCGGCATCCGTAATATCCATGTCGCGGCCTTCTAGTCAAAAAACAATCAAATCCTGTGGGTAGAGACTAAAGAGTATCCGATATACTACAGTCTTGATTTTAGCAACAATGTCCTCCTCCATCTTCATTACTTCATCAAACCTTACCGCGTTCCTTGCGTGCCAGATGTAGTAGACTGCGGCACAGAATGCCAGTCTAGCCGCTTTGGCCTTCAGCTTCGAACCTCTGTGTGTCTTTATTATCCATTTGATCGAGCTGAGTAGCGTGGTCATTTGGTGACTAAATCCCATCCATTCCCTGATCCTTTTCCATACCCTACATGCAAAAGGACATTGGAAAAAGAGGTGTGGTATTGTTTCCAAACCACCCTTGCATAAGTCACATCTATTTACTATATGCAGATAACCGAGGCTATCCTGGGTAGGAAGCCGGTTTCGTAAAGCCAACCACACATTGAATGAGAATTTAGGGGGGATGTAGGACTTCCAAATGAAGCTCATCGTAGTCCTAGTCTCACCTTTTACCCTTAGCAGCTCATACACCTTGCCCGAGATTAACTTTCCATTTATGGCCCTCGAATTGAGGCCCAAGATAGTGTCGTTCAAATTATTAAAACAACCTCTCAATTTGTCCCGGATAAGACTCATCCGCTTCATGAGCTGAGAGTCTCGGCTATGTGGGATAAAATCCCACACACTCCTACCTTTAAGATAGACACCGTTAACCCACTTTACCCATAAGGTATCCTTTTTATTATGTACGTCCCAAATAACACGTGAGAGGAGGGCGTGATTCCAAATTTTAGCATTATGGATCCCAAGCCCACCTTCCGCTTTTGGTAAGCATATATCATCCCACGCAACTTTCGCGAACTTTCCACCCCACAAAAAAATCCTACAAATGGACACAATCCTATCCAAAATCGTTTGGGGAACCGGAAAGACTTGGAGCCAAAACGATTGAACCCCTTGGATTACGGATCGAATTAGCTCAATCTTCCCGGCATAGGATATTGTCTTTGTGTTCCAAGCGTTAAGGAAGTCTTGAATCATGGAGATTAATGGTGCGTATTGTGCAACCGAGACTTTTAAAGGGGCAAGGGGAATTCCAAGGTATCGAACCGGGAACGTGCCTTGCCCATAGTCTACGAGGCCCAAGATATTTTGCAATTCCAAGTCCCTCACCCCACCAATGAAGATATTGGATTTGTCATGGTTAACTCTTAGCCCAGATACATCCCCAAACTCTTTGAGAGCATTGACTAATATTCGTATAGAATATGTGTCACCTCTCGAGAAGAGCATTAGATCATCTGTAGGGATGGACCCGGGCCGGGCCGGTTCCGGTTCCGGGCCGGGCCCGGGCGGGCTTTTTTTTCGGGTGACATGGGCCCGGAACCGGCCCGGGTTGATACCGGGTCCGGGCCTAACCGGGCCGGGCCGGGCCGGGCCCGGTTCAATGTTTTTTTTTTTTTTACTTTCTTGTTATCTCCCTACCCCCCCCCCCCTCACCCCCATGCCCCAAACCTCCCTAAAACACCCAGCCCTACCCTAGGAAAAGAAAAAAAATTGAAAAAACCAAAAAAAAAAAAAAAAAATGAACCGGGCCCGGCCCGAACCGCCCGGGCCGGTTCAACAAAAATAGGGCCCGGAACCGGCCCGCCCGACCCGCCAACACGGGCTAAAAGCCCGGAACCGGCCAACCGGGCCCGGTCCGGTCCGGGCCCGCACAGTAGCGGGCCGGTCCGGTTCCGGGCCGGTTCGGCCCGGCCCAGTCCATCCCTATGTAATACCAAGGGACGAGCATTGGGGATGGAAATTAAAACCCCCTCCTTTGGTTCTCACAGTGAGTAACCGGGAGAAATACTCAAGGCACAAAACGAAAAGCAAAGGGGACATTGGATCCCCTTGTCGTATGCCACGCTTGCCGTTAAAAAAACCATACAAGGAACCATTAAGGGAGACCGAATAGGATGAAGTGGATACACACTCCATGATCCATTCTATAAATCGAGTCGGAAAACCCAAACCCACCAAAACATTTCGAAGGAAATCCCAAGATATGGTGTCATAGGCCTTACGCAGATCCACCATAATCATACATCGTGGTGAGATCCGCTTCCTGTTGTATCCTCTAACAAGTTCCTGGGCAAGGAAAATGTTATCAAACATCAGGCGTCCATCCACAAACGCTCCCTGGGCTTGGTTAACCAACCTTGACAGGCAAGGGGTCAGTCTAGCCGCAATAATTTTTGTAATAACCTTGTATAAGACATTCGTGCAAGAAATGGGTCGATAGTCCGAGGCTTTTGGGGAGTGACTAGTCTTAGGGATAAGTGCTATCACAGTATGGTTGATCTGTTTAAGCATTTTCCCCGTTCGAAAAAACTCCTTAATAGCCCGCACCATGTCCTTCCCTACAATGCTCCAGTTGGCTTTAAAGAAAGCTGAGGAGAACCCATCAGGTCCTGGTGCCTTATCATCCCCGATATCGAACAAGGCATCTTTAATTTCCTTATCTGTTATCGGAGCAAGAAGGCCATCATGAGCACCTGGCTCAATCAGAGGACCAGTACCTAAAACCGAATGGTCCAGGTCAAGGGTATCCACATGAGATCCAAACAAATCAACAAAGAAATTTACAAATACATCAGCGACATCATCTAATGATTTAGTAAGGCTACCGTCTTCGAGCGTGACCGAGGAGATAGTATTTCGGACAGCATTCCTCTTCACAATGGCATGAAAGTAACGCGTGCCTTTATCCGCTTCAAGTATGTGCTTGGCTTTTGCCCGTTGTTGGAAAAAGCAAGCCTCGGCCTCTCCCAGAAATGTAGCCTTTTTCTTAGCCATCATCAATTGCTCTTTGACTTCCTCATCCATCGGTGAGACCATCATCAGTTTGTTCAATCTTTTAAATTCTTCCTTTGCCATTTTTGCTTTTGCCGAGATATGCCCAAACTCCACTTCATTAAGCTTCTTTAATGGTGCTTTCAGCGCCTTAAGCTTCTTAACAAAAGTGTATTGAGCTGTGCCATCAACAAAGACATTCCAATTCTGCAACACTATATTAGCAAATTCCTTATGTTTAATCCACATATTAAAAAATTTAAAAGGTTTCGGCCTTAAAGAGGATTTTAAGAGTATAGAAGATACGGAAGCCGTATGATCAAACTCTACCTCCATTTCACAGAAATGGGCCTTACACACAATTCCTTTCTGTCCCCATACATCATTTATCAGGACTCTGTCAAGCTTAGCCCATAAAGAGCCCCTATTCCACGTGAAAAATTCTCCCGTGGATGGAGCATCCTCCAGGTTAGCTGTGATCTTGAAATCAATCAAGTCTTGCATCATGTAGGCCGTGGGCGGGTTAGACCCCAACCTCTCATTTGGAGCGCAGACACAATTAAAATCACCTATAACTAACCACGGTTCTGTAAACCGGCACCCTAAATTAGCAAGATATTCCCATAAAGATTTGCGCTCCAAAACAGTATAGAGCGGATAAACAAAAGTGACCAAAAAGGTGGTTTGTGTAATACGACACATACACTCGACATGTATATGTTGCCTATTAACCTCACGCACCACACAAGATATGATATCCGGATTCCACATAACCACCATTCGGCCACCAACAATAAGATCAATATTAGTTTCAAATAGCCAGCCAGGCCATTTATTAGAGACATAATTAGCAATGTTCTCCTTAGTCATTTTTGTTTCCAAAAAGCCACACAAAGAAATCTTATTTAATTTAATAAAATTCCTAACTATATTATGCTTAGAGGATTTATTTAACCCTCTAACATTCCACGAAGCAACCTTAATCATAACAAAAATAAAAGGAAAACCGAATCAAACCTCACTCAGCTTAAGAAAGGTATAGATCGGAGGAGTAAGCTTCATCCTCGGGGTCTATTCCCCCTTTTTCCTTCATTTGTTTCCTAGCTCTTTTTCTCATTTCTTTCAAATACTTCTTGTTCCTGTCTTGGTTAGGGTCAAAGAAAGATAAAACACGATGAGTAAAAGCCGGTTTATCGAAGTCATACCACTCACCGTTTCTCTTGACCTCCGGACAGCTTAGGAGAAGATCTTCTGTAAAGTTAACCCCTGTATCATCACAAGGGTTGGGATCTAGTTTCGGCCCCAACTTTACAATATTCACACCTTTTGGTATTTGGTCCGTTTCCCACGCATAGGCAACTGTTTTACCTTCCTCATTCACAGTAAACGATGTGATAACATCATCATAGCCCATCTCATACATATTGGTGACCAAGTATCCTTTACCCCCATTGATTGCTTGGTCACCTCTTGATTCTTCAAAGGGCGTGGGTTGACTGGTTGATGCTACCAAAGTAATAGGATGTTGAGCTTTGTCTTTGGTAGTGGGTTTGGCCGAGGGTCTGGCAGTAGGGTGAGTGGCCTGTGAAAGAACCTTCGATCCAGTAGGATTGCAAGTAGAAACATATCCATTTGCATCCAGGTTGGACGAGCACTCAATTGCCGAAAGTTGCTTTCTTTGCAAGAAAACCACATTATGTCGGGCCTGCACATCAAAGAAGCTTGCAACATTAGGAGTAAAAATACTTTTATTAAAATTATACCATGTTCGCGTTCGTCTAACTCCCGGGAGCGCAACCAAACAAGGGTCAGTGAACACCATGGCAGGAGCTTCAAGATTAGTTTCCCTTTGAAAATTCTTTTTTAGCCTGGAGACCGGAACATAGCTTTTAATTTGGTGGCGTTTTTTTACAAATGCTATGTGGGCCCCATCTTCCTTGGTGACAAATTTGTTGATGATGTCGTCCGATTCTAACTCGTGCACACTCTTAACCATCCGCCCCTCCCATTCAAAGATAGGATCATACTCAATAGAGAGCACAGCCTCCTCCATAGTTTCAGCAAGAGAAAAAGACCCACTGGCAGTAGATATGGCAGCAGCAGGGTCTTTTTCATTAGGTTGGGGATTCGGTGCAATAGGCTGTGAGGTTGAAGCACCAACATTTGTAAGCAGTCCCTTACGCACAAAGATTCCCTTCTTGTTATTTCGGTTCACCATAATAAAAGGAGGTTCGTTAGCATCATGAATATCCGGAGAAGGGGTGGCAGCCCCCTTCCCTTTTTCCTTGGCAGTAAGCAGCCCCATAACCTTTTCCTTAGGAGGATTAAGAATCAAGCAGGTGAAGGGGTGGTGACCATATTTTTTACAATGGAAACAATATTCCGGAAAAGTCTCATAAATTACTTGTTGCATGTATTCTTTACCCGAGGGTGGAATAATAGGGAATTGTAGCACCGGGGGTTTAGAAACATCAACCTCAATGAGAACACGTGCAAAATGTGTATAAACCGCATCTTGGGTAACCTTGTCTGTTGTGATGGGAATTCCCACTTGTGACGCTATCATGCCAATTTCCTTGGCCTTCCAAAGCCTCATAGATAATTTGGGGAATTTCACCCAAATAGGTAATTTTAAGAATTCTTCATCATCCGTTGAGAAGTCATCCGAGAGTTCTTTTAGATACATAGTCTTACCGAAAAGAACATAAGGTCCCTCGGCCAATACATGTAATCGATCCTCCTCACTCTTGAATTTAAAAATTACCCATCCTTTGCTATGTGATTTAACATGAACCTCAACTTTCCATTTAGCAGTCATGTCATGAATAGCTTTCAAGCCCGGGAACCTTCCTGTAAAGTAACCGACTAAGCAATGACCCCAAATTTCAACAAGTGAAGGTACCTCAAGATGTGAGAAGTCAAGTTTTTCCCCCGTGGGAGGAAAATATTCCAGTTTTAAGCCACTATTAGGTGCTCGGTTGTCCCGGAACAGGGCACTCCATTGTTTTGGCACTTTATCAGTCTTCCCGTGTTCTTTATTTGTTATGATAGGGACTGTGTCCTGGGAGCCTAGTGAGATTGATCCCTCCGGTTCTACATGACTGTTTCCATCAGTTTCATCGGATCTGGCCCCGTTGTTGATAGGAATCATGTCAAGTGAGAGTTCCCGATGTGGTACAGCAATTGAAGACCCAGAGCCAAATCCCCGTACAGCCTCCGCATAAGAACCTACTACTCCCGACCCCTGAGAAGCTGCTTTAGTTGGAGGGATCACAGGTGTTGTTGGTGCAGCATCAATACTATCATGTCCATGCGGTTTAGATGAGGCCGCAGCTTTAAGAGAAGAGGCTCCATCCTTATTCAAGTCATCTGGCATCACAGTTATAGGAGGAGGAACCTCTTCCTTATCCTGTACAGTAAGCTCCACATTGCTAGTAGTCAGTCCAGCATCCCCAGTTGACACCTCAATATTAGTTTCTACTTCCAGCATCTCAGTAGCCTCAGTGGAGTTAGAAGAAAAAACAGGAGCATCAATAGGTAAAACCTCCTTGAATATTCCTTTCTTTATCATCTTCTCAGCTTGAATTGCGACTTTGGCAGCTTTCTTTTCATTGAGATACTTTATTTTTTCCTCAAACAGTTTGTCCTTTGCAGGAGGGGTCCTCTGCTGCTTATTTTTCTTTGTCATGGAGAGTAACTAAAGAAAAAAACCAGAGATAAAACTTAAGGGGAAATTCCCTTAGTTCAGGTTAGCCGCCTGCATAGTTAGTATGAGCAACAACAAGTATGAACTGCCTAAAGCAATAAAAAGAAGCACTGCACTCGTCTGGTTAATAACCTGAAATGTTAGTCTGATCAATAGGGAGGCACCGAGTACAGAAAACCTCACAATATAGACAGATAACAATATATAGCACAGACAAGATGATCAAACAAGTACTGGTAATTCAAGAAAATCTGTAGTGATCAAAAACCCCAATTCCTAGAGGAGATGAACAGTGCACGTAGAATACACAGATGCTCAGAATTCCCAGGAAGTTAAAGCCCAGGGAATTTTGACCACAGTAGTATATTCCAAATTAGAATCCAAACCCAAAATAACGAGGGTATGTGTAATTCAAATCTGCGCACAAATGAACATAGTCCAAGAAATTGGGTATAAACAGAAACCTGGACTATTGGAAGCAAGAGTGATGGCCTTAGCTTCGTTTCAGCTAGATGAGTTCAGTAATGGCTTCAGAGTTCGAAATAACCGTCAAATGAGAAAGAAATCCGAAATCCAAGCAGATCAGCTCAGCGAACAGTTCACCTTGCTAACGCAAATATAGCATCTCAGGTACGACGGCGTCTGGGTGGCCGGAGACCGGGTGCGGGAGGTGCGCCAGGGGACGGCGACCCCCAAACCACCTTCTACCTTAACAGCCAATCGTCAGACGGAAGCTCAGGGGTCCGATTCCAAATCTAGTGTGAATGGTGTATCTGCTAGCTTGAACCTCAGAACAAAAGAACGAGCTTCTCCGAAATCCAAGCTTTCCAAAATCAATCGATGGATGGAAGATAAATGAATTTCGAGCAATGGAGTGAAAGAAAGTCAAAGATCAATCGGTGGAAACGTTGGTGAGAGAGCTAAGAGGTCAACGCGCAACCAAAAAATATCCGTTCCCAGGGGTGCGAATAATTCTAGTGAGAAGGCAGAGAATTCTCAACGCGTTACCCATACTCTTTCCATTTGAATGTATCATTTTCCTATACAATTACAACTATGTTTACACTTGAAACGTTGAACTGCATCAATTCTTGCAAAAAATTATATGCTCATTATGATCTCTAATATTAGACTTTTGTACTCACCATTTATTTAATTGTTTTTCTCTCCTTTTACTTAAATGTACTAATTCTTGGATCCATTAAAGGTCACTTAATCTCCACCTCTATTGTACTCACTACTCCGACCTTTGTGCATGTTTTCATTAGAACAACATTGGGATAGTTTCAATTGTTGTTTTTAATGGACTATGAGGAGAAATTGTAATAAGAAGTTAGTCTAGAAGGAAAAAATTACTCCGTATTAACTAACTTAATTGGGAAGAGCAATTTAAAGTTTTAATCATATCTAAATACATGTGACACTATTCCACAAGTTTGTCCTCCAAGTAAATTTTGAGTTTAATAATGGAATGAACTTTATAGGGGAAGACTACTTCACAAAGGCATATGAAGGTTTCAACATGTATGAGAAAAGAGTAGGACATTACATTTGTCTTTTTACATGTAAATTCATATGTAGTATTTTATACTATCTTAAGTTTATTTCACATAAAATGATTGTCTCTTTTTTATTAAAAACTATTTTTTCCCAACCGACCTAGACATCCTATCCTTCGACAAGTGAAATGACTACTATAATTCAATGTGGCGTAATTTTAAAAATTCACCCTTTACAAAAATTCAATAATCACAACTCAAGTATTTTCATTTTCAAACATAATTAAACAACATATGAAGTAAGAAAGTAAACATATCAAATAACAACTTCATGTACTTTAAAATAACTTACTATAATCATATTGGGCATTTTCTCACTCGCGCAACGCGCGTTGCAAAAAACTAGTCGTTTAAATAAACATGGACCGTACTCGATCAGTTACTCACTCTAGTTCCAAGCCACGAATAGTATTATGACCCCCCCCCCCCCCTCGCCCTATCCTTCACCGTGTTCGGAGGAGCACACGGCGTTCAATTCCAATAGCGGAGCTCGGATGAAGATTGGTTGTGACAAAGCTACTGGCTAACAGCTGAGCTAACTACAAACTCCGTATTTATTTTAGAATGTTTAAATTATATCAACACTTCATATTTAAGAACTAAGGTGATGTTTTGAGAAAATATTTGAGTTGGATGACTTGGATCATATGTTATTTTGATTGGGTAAAAATGAACTCATTTTATTCTAAAATCCTTGTCAAAAGTGTATCACACCGCACATTCACACTTCACACCTATGTAGCACGGAAACTCTAGGGAAAGATTACGTTTCCCGTTTCGGAAACTCTTTGAAAACTCTTCAAATAAGCCTTTTTTGAGCAAACGTTGATGTTTCCCGTTTCCTCATGGTTTTTGTGTTTCCGTGCAACTTAGCTTCACACATATATGGTCCAAAGTTTATGGTAGAAATTGCTTATTAGTCATAAACAAAAGTGTATTTAAAGGATAACTTATATTTAAAGCATGGAACTCTCTTAATAATTGGGAGTGAATGAATCAAAAGAAAACAATGTTGATCATATTTATACACATTGTGTATGTTTTACTCCTATTATGTAATTTTCTCTTTCTAAAATTAAACGATACAGTACAAATAATGTCAAATCTTACAAGAGAATTTGCTCAAAATATGACTAAAATATATTCAAAAAATGGAATTTTATTAATTCGAAATCTTTGTCCGTGCTCCCACCCAGGCACCCACTAGAGCCCCATTTAAATTAGCTCCACCCCTGGGAATCTGGGATGGGAATCTTCCCACAGGAATACACCTCTAATATGGAGTATATGGCATAGTACGTGTATGATTATACATAAAAACATGTTAATAATTCAAAATTTAAAATATTATATATAACTAGATCATGATTAATTGATTATGTGCATAAAGCTAAGAGTATCTATAGTTAACGAGAATGAACATAATTAACATCAACGTCTATAATTGTTTCTTAGTGTAAAAATAAAAGCATTTTTATTTTTTAAGGTATTAATGAGAGAAAAAGTTTCCGTCATGATAAATAACACAGTAAAAACTCAAAAGGTCAATTGAGCACATCAACTTGTATGAGATGAAGTAAATACACTATATCGCATTTCACATTCGTAATTAGTACATAAACTTGGTTATTTAGTTTAATTGAGTACATTTATTAGATTACCACGTTAATATGGCTGAGTTGGCTAACGGAACGCTGAGTAAGAAGGAGTAATGGACCAAGGTTATGACGCCGGCCTTCACGAAGTCGACCAAAAATGAAAAGTTGACCTTCGAAGGTCGACCCGCGGGGGACATCGGCCACCAGGGGTGCATCGACCAAGGGGAAGTCGATCTACGGGCTGCATGTGGGGGTTGGTGTCGACCTTCAGAAAGCCGACCTATTAGCATTTTGTTAGCCAACATAGTCGTATTAATATGTTAATCTAACGGATGTACTCGATTAAAGCTAAAAAATAGAGTTTGTGTACTTAAAATGATCAAATGAAATATAATGTACTTTTTACTTCACATCATATAAATTGATGTACTCAATTGACCTTTACCTCATAAAAAATCACTAGCTGAATCCTACTTCTTTTACAAAATTCAATCCTACTTCTGAAAAAGAACTACATATTACGTATTTTTCTTTCTAGAAATATCAAGTATATATACACTATATGAGTATGTATTTGCATTGAGCTAATGAGCTCATTATTTTACATCATCTTTTGCTCAAAGTTTTACACAATCTGCAGGTCTAAGTCAAAAGAATGAAGGATGTATTCGCATCAACGAAGGCACAACCTCAATATATAAAGAAAATTATTTTACATTAATCGAAATAGATACTCATTTTAAAATCGATCATGCATATGAGTGGCATTATATTTATGTAGAACGGTAGAAAAGAACGAAATTTTAAGAACAATATCACATCTTTAAGAAGAATATATATATACCATGTTTTAGAGGAACAAAAGTGAAAAGGAAGAATCTTTACGTACTTTGAGATACATGGAGCAGCTTTTTTTGGAATAAAATTGGTGAATTGATCGTTATAATACGAAGTATGAAATATATATAAATGGTAGTGTGTATGATATGTCTCATTTTATGTGTCTCAATTTGACTTGACACAATTATTAATAAAGTGGTCGAACAAGTAAAAGTTGTGGCTGAGGTTTGAACATAATAAAGTAAAATGGTGTATGACACATATTTCTTACCAAAAAAAGGAAAGGAAACATGCACTTATTTTGGGACAACCCAAAAAGAAAGTATGACAAGTAGAATGGGAATACACTTATTATATATACGCATACACACATGCATAAAATGCATTTATGAGGCTTGTTCATAAGTGAGTTCATGCATTTGAATTATGGGTCCAGTGAATTGACTATTAATCTACCTTTAGAATACTTATGAAAAGGCATAGCACATACACTATAATAGACATGTGAGTAATTCGCATAGTACTTGGGGTGTAAAATGCAATTAACCCACACAGTTGGGCATGATGCCAACATAGCTAAAATTTGAGTACTTAGTGATCAAATTAAATGTGTTTGTCTAGTTGTGCTTGTGAATGTTTAGTCATATGTGAACCATGTTTAATTTTAGTGTACGTTTTTTTGTTTGTTTTGGGTATATAAATTTAGTATGCTGTAGTTATCTTTCGCTTCAGTCTAACTCACATTTCTAAGGGAGTGGTTGCAACAGTTTAAAAAAAGCATTTCTCAACTTTTGGCTTAAAAAACACTTATTTACCAAACACTACCCATTTTTACTTTTTCTCGACTAGCGTGTGAAAATTTTTTTTCTCTTTTCTATTACACAGAAAGCATTTATTTAACCAAACACTATCAACTTTTACTTTTCAAAATCACTTTTTTCTCAAACACTATTAACTTTTACTACTAATCACTTTTTCCTTACCTCTCCAAAAGTGCTTTTTTAGCAGAAGTAGTTGCAAACACTTCCTAAATCGATTGACAGCATCAATAATCCTTACTCTCATCATGGTCTAAAATCCTTACTCTTGCTAGCTATAAAATACCATAAAGTTTGTAAGACTAGCAGGAAAGTCGCAAACTCATCTCCTTTAATAAATCAAGACTAAAGGGTCAAATAGGTACATGAACTGACTTAAAGTGTTCAATTAGCCCCTTATCAAATTTTTTTATAAGGGAATCGCCAATTGGGGCGCTTCTCGGTGGAATTTTTTTATGAAATTTTTTGAGCATCTTCTTCATTAAGTCTAGTTTACCCATATCAAATTTCAACTAAAAATTAAATCGGGAAGGCAGTCAAATTTTTCGAAATGTACTGCGTTGTTTAACTGCGCAATTATCTTCAAAAAATCATTTGACTGCCTTCCCGGCTGAATTTTTAGCTGAAATTTGGTATGAGTAAACTAGACTTAATGAAAAAGATGCTCAAAAATTTTCATCAAAAAATTCCACCGGGAACCGCCCCAATTGGCGACGGCCGGGCAGAACCTCCTATATAAGGGGATAATTGAACACTTTAAGTTAGTTCATGTATCTATTTGACTCTTTAGCCATAAATCAAAGCTTTCCTTTTACTACTTACTATACATCATTTTATGCCAAATATTTTTTGCAGGTAATTATGATTTTAAAATTATTGAACATAAGAATCACTAGCCGGTAAAACTTCACATACGGAGTACTATCGTACTTCGTATTTGAGAATGAACCCCTTCAAATTTCAAGCTGCCGGTTGCGGACAGCCTAAGGAATAACAAAAACGTAGGTCAACTTTGCCTCGTCACCAAAGAAAAGAGTGCAATCTTTTTACTCTTTTAGATGCATTTGCGTGGTACGTACATCTGACCGCCACCTTTCAAATATTTCGATTAATATTTAACAACTGTAAGGTGTAGCAATAAGTTCACTCATCCAATTAAATTTGACTAAAGTATTGCATAATAATTAATGGTACCACTACTTAATCACTAATGTTTCATAGCAATTATACAATATTATTTCATAATGGTGCGAGTAGTGCAGCACACCCTAGCTGGCCGACCATGTGCGATTGTGTACTATTTACTGTTACGAAATTAAGACAACGTAGTAAATCGCAACACAACCTATATGCTCCACTTGGCGATTCATATGGTAAAATTATATTGATTGATCATTTATGAATTTTAAAGAATGAATATTTCATTATGTATTTATATATGTTCATGTTTTATTTGTTGGGTTTATTTTGTTCTAACATCAGCTCATTTGAAGTTATACGAGCACATTCTCCATCAAATGACAATGTTTTTAATTGACTAATATTTTATGATCTAACTTAGGTTGATCTGATATGCACTATTCTAGTGAAATTCTTTAGAACTCTGTGTATTCTATAATTCTTCGGGTCTTGTTTGTTCTTGTCTATTTAAGTCTGATTGTCTGCCTAATCTGAATGTATCATATTTGTACTCATTTCTATTTCATGTCGATCAATAAGTTAAACATTACATTTATTAGATGATAATCAGTTTCACAGTTTGACACAAATTGTCCAATACCTAAATTAAATTTATAACATCTACAAAATGAAAACATCGACATGAGAATGCAACTGTAGTCGGCACACTCGGATCGGAGTTCTAAGTAACTTATAAAGAAAAGGAAAAATTCAAACTAATAATTCAACCTTTTAGCGGTCTTCTTACAATAGTCCCACCTTTTCGTTATTCATGAATAATCCAACCTTTGCACCTCATCTCCATAAATCTCACCTTTCACAAAGATAATATTTTACAAAGATAAGAAAATAACTTGGAATAGCAGGTCATTAACCGGTCAGAGACCAGCGAATGAAGATGAGGTGCAAAGGTTGGATTATTCTTGAATAACGAAAAGGTGGGACTATTGTAAGAAAACTGCTAAAAGGTTGGATTATTAGTTTCCATTTTCCGAAAATGGATTTCTATAATAATGGAAAGAGAATGAGAAAGAATATCGATGAATTTGCGACTAAAACTGAAAATATTTTAAATTTGTGACACCAAAAAATGAAAATGTTGTTAGACATCTAAATAAAAAAAAGTCAATAAAGTTTAATTGGACGGAACAGAAAGTACTTTTGAGATAGTTGTTCTAATTAAAAACAATCAAGAAATAACTACTACAACTATAATATTTATAATACGGAGGAATAAATAAAATAAATAATCTTTGTGTAACATTTAGGATGTTTTCTTTTGGACTGCTTTCAGTCCCACCAGACCAGATCAGACTTGACTTTTGTAGTTATAAAATACACACAGACCAGACATTTACCAGACCAGACCAGACCAGACCAATTCAGACCAGACCAGATTAAATCCAAAAGAAAAGATCCTTAATTACACATCATATAGCGACTCCATCGTAATGGTATTTCTCAAAAGGGTAATCTATCTCGGATAATTAAGCTTGAATGGATCAAATAAACTTCAATCACAATCAAATCCATAAAATGAGATACAACTAACACTTTACAAAGGTTAACAATGGCCATGTTTGACCTTTTGCCAAAAAACAAGGATTATTAGCTTAATTTATTTCTTTTTTTTTCTTCTTTTTTTTAGCTTAATTTATTTCAAACTATCATCAAATTCACAAATCTATCACATTCTTTCACTTTTATTAAAAAAAGACCCAAACTTCATCTTTTCCAACAATTATGCTTTTCTTTTTTGTTTTTTCAAAATAATACATTTTTATCAATAACAATAAGATATAATCAACACAAGTTTGTAAACTTAAAACTAAAAGAAATGAAAAAATATGAAATATAAAATAAGATTTTTTTCTAAAGTTTTACTAATACATCTATTGAAAGTGTAGTTGTTAGAAAATTTGAAGTATAAGTCTTTTTATAATAAAAGTGAAAGTATAGGATAGTTTTGTTAATTTGATGATAGTTGAGGATATATTTAACTAATAAACCAAAATACAATGGTCATGTTTGACCCACATATATAGTACGTTTCCAATTTCGGTTATTCGACATTTTCGAATACAAAAGTGCCACATATTCAAGCCAAAATAAACCTGGTAGGAAGAAAGAAAGCATTCTAATTTTTTTTAGGGAGAAAGCATTCTTATTTTTTTTTTGAGGGAGAAAGCATTCTAATTCAATACTCGAAAGTTTTGATTCAAAATAACGTTACACGTAGTATATGTATATGCTATTCAGCTTTTCTATCTGATTCACCCGTAATTTTCTCCCCCGACATTGTTGTAGTAAGTTTAACTAGGAAAAAGCTGCATGTACACTCATGTGAGTGTATGTGCCCGTTTACACGTTCAAATTGTATGTATCACAAATAACTTGATTTTTTAAGCTTTGAAGGGACGACAATTTGGAGAAAATTGTTGATGCCACAAATAATGCTCTTTGTTAGTTGTTACTGTATATCACAAGTAATATATCTTAAAAATTAACCAAATTTGTCCAACACATACGTCCCTTAAAATTTTGTCTAATCTTTGCTTTTTGAGACGTCCCCAAAAAACTGTCACTTTCCCTTTTGATCAGTATTTTATGGTTTCTGTTATTTTTCTCTTCTCTGCACAAGACTCAACCACACAATTTTTACTTTATTATTCTCTTTGCCGGTTAACTTTGACAAAGTTTTAAGGAAATGAGGTAGTACAATTTAGGCATTTAAAGACAGACCCGTATTTTTTGTTGGGTGCGTTCAAACTCTCACACGTACAATATAGGCGTGGAAAGACAGACCCAAAATTTTTTGATGGGTACGTTCGGACTCTGATCGAGTCCTACTTTGAGCTGGTTGGGATGTTTTTACTTGAACTGTTGTCAGTCCCTGACCAGACTAGATTTTAATAGTTATAAAATACACAAAGATCGGACATTTACTAGACCAATTCAAAACACATCAGACCGGACTTGAGAATTTGAGTCCAAGTAAAAACATCATTAGTTACATTAAACAATTTCATTCAAATTGGAATTAAGTAGTTATTATAAATTTGAATCAATCAATTGCGCTTATAGGTCTAGTTCTTAGTGCATTTAGCATAGTCAATATTAGAACTTATCATCGCATATATGTTAATATAACTACATTATTGATATCAATTTCGATTAGAAATCTAGTTATATTCTCTATAAAAACTAAAGGTCAAATTCTGACCTAGAGCTTGAAATACTACGTATAATACTTCCACTCTCAAAATGAATTTCAACTAAGGTCCACTCTTTCTCCCATAGTCCCATTACACACAACTCGGTCTATTTTAATATCTTATTTCATTACCTCATTAACGCAAAAGCTTCCTCCTACAAGGCGTCGGATGTACTCAACCTTTCCCTTATACTAAAGCATAAAAAGACTTATTCATAAATGAACTATGCTCATCATAATTACCCCGGTGCCGCAAAGGCTCCCACCTACGGTGAAAATGTGAAATAAGGGGATCAAGCGTACGCAGTACTACCCATGTATTAAAACACGGAGAGACTGATTCATAAATGAACTATGCCCCAATACAAAAAATAACACGTTCGACATGGAACTATCATGAATTGATATGAATTTGTATAAAACTCTGTTAATTGCTAGTTGCTACGTGATAAAAAGCTTTGACACTAACTTGGCAAAGACTGATGAATCTATCCCAAGACTGTTCCATCAAAGGATATTTGATGGAACATATAATTACATGCAACATCACAATCTTTCATTCGCAAGAAGCGCATGGGCGTTCATCAAAGAAATTTTTAATTTGTAATCACGCCTAAAAGAGTTGTCAAATATAAAATTAATCCATCACAAGAAGAAAAAAAGACAATCTTGGGAGGCTTTTAAAATATGTACACCATCCCGGCCAAATAATGAAAACAATAAGAATTCATAAACTTGAGTTAATAATAGAGTTAAGGAAAGTGAAGTCATTCATGTTCAAGAAGGAAGAAACCTAGGAAAACTTTATAACTGCCTGAAATACTTGCCCGAGAACTTCTTTCAATTGATGAATAGAGATCTCCCCGCCCTATGACCGCACCTACCTAGACCAGTCAAAATTGTTTAAGCACTTCAGTACACACTTGTCCTCCTCCAATAGCGGAACAGTCGTATTTTAAGAATAAAAACCACCATGTAGACGATGCACGGAACGAAGTGGGCCCCTTCACTTATCCAGCATGGAACGAGTTGTTTTCTTGCTGTAAGTGCAACTATGTACACACCTGTATATATATATCCACACAACGCGAGCACTAGTGAAAACATACCCCTCTACACTGGAAGATTATCCAACTGGTACCCGTCAAAGCCAAACTCACTCTCAACCGGTCCAACAGGATCTTGCTGTTTGCACATAATAAGAATACATTAGAATAATGAGGTTAAAGCACAAGAAATATTCTGTTGTCTCACCAAAAGAAAAATTGTATTTGAAAACTTACTTTTGTCCAACATTTTTAAACAATTGAAGTTGAACTTAATTATTTTAACTGTATTCCTTCAAAAAGGAAGATGATTCCTAAAATATAACTAACATGCTGTATATACTGCATAGTCACTATAGTCACTGAACATACCACCAAGGTCACTAAAGTGTGAAATGATCATCACGAATACGGTTATATACTTTCTTAGCATTATATATGTTATTAATTATAACTAGAGTGTGCCAAACAAGTAAAGTATGCTGAATTTAGGTCGTATTTGGTACCACTGCTTGGACTATTCTTCATAGTTTCCTTATCACACATATAATCAGACTTATTAGCTGCTTGAATAGTTGGCTAAAATCGGTTTTATGAGATGCATTTATTTTTTGGGAAATTATGGCACTCATTGAGCCAAATAACCCATCACAAAACAGGCTCTTAGTTAAACAACAAAGAACATACTTAGGCATGTCTAACCTGTTTGAGAAGTGCACTCATAAGCTCATCTTGACCATACGGGTCTGCGAACAGCGTATTCTGAAAGCTTGCATCATGGGCCCTCTCTGTCTTGATTGCCACTGAATTGCCACCGAGCAATGTGTTGAACTGTGCTGGGCCAACCATCGGGTTGTTAATTGGTGGTGCATTCCTGGAAGCATCTAACAAGATTCCTTGTACATTGGAATGACGAGGTTGGGGTGCATCATATCCCCAATCTTGTGATCCTTTGGGTTGTTGATGCTGGAGATCATTGAACATATCATAACTAGTGGAGGAAAATACCCTTGACGATTTAGCCCCTGTATTGGCACTGCTAGAAATATAACCACCGTTATGATTTCTTAACTCTGTGCCCTGGTTAACGGAGAAGGCTACTGCAGGTGAGGGGGCATGTGAAACATGGGAAACAGAATTGTTTAATGCACTGCATGAATTGTCAAGAATACCCCTTGGTGGTAGACTACCATTCGGATCACTTACAATGTGGGGCCGTGACTGGGGTTGTGTCATATGTTGCATGAGTACAGGGTTATTTTGGTGAATGTTCATACCATTGAAGGTTAGTGGTGAAGAAGATTGGTGCATGTTTTGGAGCTGTTTGGGTTCCATTGTGGTTGGAATTCCATGAAGTAGGTTAGGAATTTGCTTACTACTGTTATTACTGTTCATGATGTGTTGTGGGCCCTCTCCATATCTTGACCTCGGGGTTTCAAAGCTAAAAAGGTTGTTCCTTTGATGATGATGATCCACAAGGGGCAATGACAAGGCTGATTTTGTAGCATGGTATGAAGCAAGGCTCTGTGCTGATATTTGGCCAGAGGCAGCTAGAGCTTGGAGTTCAAGCCCGTTGAGAGAAGACATGGGCCCAAAGGGGGAATCTTGGTGTCCCATGAATGGGTGGCCCATCCCCCCCTGACCACTCAACCTCCTGAGATAAAGGCGGTACTTCTGCAAAACCCCATACCAGTAAAGTTAGTATTTTTTCTAACAAGGTTGGAAAAGGTTCTTTTACCAAGAATACACTTACACACCTACACTCATGTAAATGTATCAGTAGTTCTGTATGTGTTTGCAAAAAATGAATCTTGTCTGAGAGCTTGAGCAATGTATTTCTTTTTAAATTGGTAAGGTGTACCTTACATAAATCATAAACCGTACTGATAGTTTTTATATTTATTTGTTGGTTTGACTGAAACGCATCTTATGACATTTTTTGGAAAATAACATGAAAATCAGCTTTGTTTGATAAAAAACAGACTATTTTTTGGACGGGGTGGAAAATTAGAAGCTGATATCGACTAATTGGATAGCACAGGGACTAGAGACTAGAAATAACAAAACTATTTCTCCTACCTGAAGGTGACTTGCAACATTTTCTCTAGTAAGCCCGGGAACATTCATCAATTCCAGAATTTTTTTGGGAACAGCCTCTGCATTTACACAGAAAGAAAAAAATCAGTCCCTAAACATTGAGAAATGATGTGAAAACATATGCATGCATACTTCCGTTTTCCAATCATTAACTGACACACTCAAAAAGGCTAGTGTATATCATGAAGGGTAAAGAAAATATTAAAAAACCGATTATTCTGATATAAACAATTACAAATTTATCAAGAACAGGTTTTCATTATCGCAGTTCAAAGCATGCTGGTACAGAGTAGTAAGCTTCAATTATTACTTATTATTTACTCTATATTATTTATGACCTGGGTTTTGCATGACATAGCCAAAACTAGTGTACAACTTGGCATAAACTTATCCTACTCTGATGTTGTGATTAGAAGAAGAAGAAGAAGAAGAAACAATTTTGACAGAAAGAACAACGCCGATATACATACTGTCAATTCCTAGCTGATTAACAGCTGCTACAAACTGCTGATGAAGCTCCACAGACCAAACCACACGAGGCTTCTTTAATGTAGACGTGTCGTCTCTTTCTTCACCTTCGTCATCCTCCTCTTTCCTCCTCTTTGAGTTCTTCCAACTCCCTTCGTTTGCTGAAGACGAGTAGTCGCCATCGTCTTGAGGCTTTTGCTGCTGACGGTCCCCACCTTCATCAGCACTTCCGGATTGTTCAGGATTGTCCTTCTCCTTCAACCCATGCTTCTTTTTCCGAACCACATGTTGCCAAATGTTCTTAAGTGCCTCCATGCGGACTGGTTTTATCAGATAATCACATGCACCGTGTGTCACTCCCTTCATCACCACACTCTTGCTGTCGTCTGCTGACATCACTGTGGGATTAACAATATGAGTTAGTTTTCTTAACTCATAAATAAATAAACTTATGTTTTTTAATCATACTTACTAATGACGGGAAGATCCATCTCAAGACCGATATGCTCAAGTAGCTTAAAGCCGTCCATATCAGGCATGTGGACATCACTTATAACAACATCAAAGCCATTCTTGTTTTCCCTGAGCAAAGACAGTGCAGTCTCTGCCCTGTTGCATTTAGTCACTGGAACGTCAAGAAACAAAAAAGAACATGTCAAAATAGTCCAAACCATAACTTTCAGTACCAAAAGTGATAAAAAAAAAACTCTTAATTCATGAAGGGTCAACCTTTTAATTTTAGTAAGGTACAACTACAAGAAATATCAACCCTCTCTACTTATATGTTACTACGTAATATTTATTTGTCGGTTTAACTGAACTTAAACCTTTTAACTTCTTTAGGCGCTTTTATTGTGAAAAATACATTAAATGTAATGAAGATTAGATCATTTGGTTCAAATTAGACTTTTTTTTTGGAAGTGACTTTAGTCCTGGGAAGAATGTAGTAAGAAATAAAAAAATAGATAAGTGATTAAATAATGATTAAATAAATGAATGAGAAGTAAATAAATAAACATAGAGATAAGTGTGTCAGTGTGTGTCTGTGTGAGATTAAATTGTAAACCCCGTCTGAAATCAAATCCAAAGAACGGTAAAATTATGCTCAAATCTCAACACTTCAAATCCTGATGAAGCGAATTCAATACAAAATTTAACCCGGAATCTCCAAGATTTTATATGCTTACTCGGTATCTCAAATCCAAAACTCCGATCTCCAAATCCAACAAAGGAAAAAACCCAGAACTAGTATTCAACAATTAACTGGATGAAATCAATTGCAGAAATTGACACATAAAAAGCAAGTCCAGATACTGGATATTTACACATCACAAAATCAGTAAGTCTGCAGAAAGATTCGATACCTTCATAGAGACAGGTTATAAGCATCCTCTCTAAGATCTTGAGGCAAGTCGGGTCGTCGTCCACTACAAGAACCCGGAGACCCGCCGGAAAATCTTTGGAGACGGCATCGCCGGACTTCCAGGAAGCGTTTGAGCAAGTACCCGACATCTCTTTTCCCAATTGACCGCCACCCAGATTCATTCTTCTGTCCTTCACTACTCACAGCTCATATATTTTAAAAAGATTTAATTTTTATACCGTTGATTATTACTCCGTATGATTTATGGTAAGTCTATATAATTATACTTATGCTTAAAAAGGAAACTGAAAAAGTACCAAAAACAAATAAACCTAAAATAAAAGATTTCAAAGTTTCTTAATTTTTCACTTGCTCAAACAAACTCCCCACTGTATATACTACCCAGTTTCTCAGAAATTCCGACCAATACAAGGAAGAGAAGAAAAGGGTATTCTCGGATTTTCAGAAAAAAGATACTCCTAGAACTAATTATTGATTGGAACCATCAAAATATGAGCTTCTATCTATGTGAATATGGGTATGTTCGCAGTTGGGATGAGGGCTTGTTTGTTCTTGTGTTTAGGGAAAGATGGCGAAGTTCCATCTTTTTCTGTACTTGTCGTCTCTCATTATTTTACTTTATACTCCCTAAATAAACTTTTAATTATTTTTCTTTTTGTTATTGTTGTTTAGTGTAATTTTAATGAATTTCTTTTTGGGTCGGAATTGATAGTGGGTCTCTCCCATGTGGGTGGATACAGCTCATGAATGAGGTCAAGAGCCCCACGCCAGCCATAATCTATTTTTATATATTTATATTTACTGTTTATTAATTATTATTTTTACTATTATAACTACACATTTAAACGCATTTTGTCTAACCTTGCTTAGTGGCTTCTTTTCTTCTTTTAGTCGACTTTAATAACACACAACTTCTAAAAGTATAGATAAAAGTTTTTAGACAAGCCGTCCGTAGTCCCTACCCATTAGGGTGTACGTTCGTTTCTACTTTTCACATTACCATCGTATTTCCTAAGTATTCTCCCTCGGCTGAAATATTTATTGAGTTTGACACAATATTTAAAAAAAAAAGTATGAAAGGAAAAGATTAGTACAAAAAAGTAGAAGAAAATGTGGAGTAGTATACAAACAAGACAAGAAGTAAAAAAAAAGTAAAAAAAAAACTAAAAATATATAAGTATTTATAAAGGAAAATTTACTAAAAAGGTATCGTGTAACAAGCATTTCAATAAAGAAGATTATTATTATTATTGGGAGTATTAATTACCTCCTCCTTCCGAAATGATTTACAAAATGTGCTCTTTTTAGTCAATACGATTTAACTTATTTACTTATTCCTTTATAGAATATCAATATAATTTTCAATATGTTAATTTTAAATTATTAAATCTAACTTTACTATTTGCATGAGGGATTAAATTTTACTAATTGTAAATTGTAAATTAATTTGATGCGGACAAAGTAACTTTCAAGCTCTTTATACGGTGATGCATATAAAACCACATTATTGTTTAAATTATGCATATAGTTGCATACTTCATTTGTTTTATAATAGTCGTTCTTATTTAACTTCATGAAAATTAGGAAATATATTTAGGAAATAAATTAGATATTTTCCAAAAATATTACCGAAATTAAACACCCACTACGATGTAAATCTGAACATGCATAGAAAGTTACTAATATACGGAGTATTTAGTACTCCGTATAAATAGGATGTATAACGTCTGTATATGCTAGAGTATATCATCTTAATTTGAATAATATATTGAGAGAATTCCCTAAATAAAAGTAAAAACGTTCTGAAATTCTAAAACAGGAGTATTATATTTTTTATTCCCTAAATAGGAGTAAATTTTTGCCAAGTTTGGCATTACAAGGCTTTTAACATGACATTTTTTCCAAACTTGACAGATTATTCCTATTCAGGGAATAAAAAACATGATACTCCTATTTTGGAATTTCAAAACGTTTTTACTTCTATTTAGGCCAATTTCTGTAATATATTAAAATTTATTATTTCATAACATTAGGTTAATATTGAAGTAGATAGAGAATTAGATAAAGTAGGTAAGTTTATTAAGATAAAAGGTCAGACAGGAAGATTTTTTTCCCCGTGAAATAGGAAGAAAAAATGAAAATTGAGGAAAAAGATTATGAAAAAATTAAATAGGGTTAAACCTTTTAAATATAAAGAAAAAATTACATATTTATGATTAAAATAAATATTGTTTAAAAAATGTGACGGGTGATTAGAGTAGTAATGAAATTATAGTAACGTATGTTCAATATTTGAACTTAAGTTATCATGACACTACATTGTAGTAACTATTAGTCATATTTGTCTAAATAAATTTTATTTTAGTAATATTTTTGAAGAAAAAACTAAAACAGTCCCCTGTAGCAAAACCAAGTTTAAATACTTCAACAAGTCTATGGTCATGTTTGGTAATTAGTATTTAGTTGGTATATGATGGCTGATTGTTTTAGCCGGTATGACCGACTTATAGTAATAGCTTCTATGACCGACCGATAGAATTGAATGTTTACAAAAAAATGTTTGGTAAATTCAATTGTTATTTTTTAGCTGATAGCATATAAATTTACATTTAGGGACATGGCCTAATATACATAATATTTTGTCACCAATTATTGTTATTATTATAAATAGCATATAAATATTATTTACAGCTAAGTATTATAATTGAATAAAATAGGACTTCTAACTCTTTTTTATTGGTAAAATACAATATTAATTATTAATTGATTCTAAATCTTTCTTAACTTAATATATTTATTTTAGTATGCAACTTACATATTATTTATTCACATTTATTTATTTTAGTAGTCAATAGGTGCAAAGTAAATGTAAATAAATAACCAAATAAAAAACTAAGCTAAAAAGGTACCAAGGGTTTTGCAAAAAACAAGCAAGTTTCAATGAAAGAAGGCACTACATACTACATATCTGGTGATTTATTAAAATCTTGTTTGGTGATCATGTTTTTTGACTTGTCACGCTTATCAGTCACCAAACACGTGACTTTTCATTTCGTGCGATGAATTGTGTAATAATAAAAAAAGTAAGGTTGAAATTACTTTTCTGGCTGTATTGTCAACTAGCCACCCTTTCATTCCTAACTGGCCGTATATATCTTACATGCTTATAAAGCCTTTGAGTGAGGTGAGAAAAGAGAAACCGGTCACTTTGTGAAGCTGAGTGAGAGATGGTGATCGAGGAAGGTAGAATAGGGTAGTTGCTCCTTTAGCCCAGGAGTGCATAAGGAGACTGCCGGAAACTTACCTACAGCGTACCTGAGCCGAATCCGGCCGACAGAAACAGATCCACAACACCATATTAATTAGGAGGATGATATATATTTTTTTTGGCCCAGTAAAATGAACTTTAATTAAAACAGTTTAGAAAATACAACTTTTGGGACTAAGTGTAGACACCGGGATATAAGGGATGACCTCACACATGAGCGAGGGGTCAGCCCACGATTTATGGTCTGAGAATGAATGAAGGGAGCCATATTAGAAGATGGAAATGAGTTGAGATAAAAGTGGGTTAATCAAGTCATCTAAGGAACCTTTTCCCTCACATCATTCATGCATGAGAGACAAAAGAATCATCTCAACTCTTCTCCCCCTCCCATTTTGGCAAAGCCAACCATGAAAGAGAAAAGAGAGCTCTGCAACATCCTCCCCGTATCTAGGAACTAAGCTCAAACTAGGAGGATGTCCAAGAAAAAGAAGGAAAGAGGTGAAGGAGGAGGAAACATAAGAAATAGTGGTAATGATTTCATAAAACTTATTTCTTCCTTCATTCATTCTTATATGAGTTATAATAAGTCATATAGGGGGTATTTGGCAATTGGTTGTTGGTTGCAACTATTGGCTGATTGTGTTAGCTAATTGATGACAACAGATTCGGTTGGTTGTTTCGATTGGCTGATACGATTAGTAGTTTGAAAAATTGTGTTTGGTATAATGGTTGTTTACAATTGGTTGATAACTTGTTAAATGACTTTTAAGGATTTCAATTAATTTTTTAATAATATAATTTGTACAACTACTTAAACTAAAAATGTATCGACACGAGTAACAATTGTTTTAAATATTTTTTCACGAATTACTAAATTTACTTAGAAATAATGATATGTTGGTTAGACATAAAGAGCTTAATCGCCAACTACATGAGCTATAACCCTCTCAAAAAACCAGGCTAATTCCTTCCTTGGTGATGATGATATATGAAGTGGAATATAAACATGAAGAGCGTAATTGCCATCTTCTCGGTTCCAGGTAAGTTTTGAGAAATTGTGTGTGTGTATTTATCAGCAAACCATAGAACAAATATTGCTAGCCTTGAATTCGAAGGAAATAGTATAAGTTGGCGAAATGAAAATTTTTCTCTCTCTTAGGCGCCAGTTAGGCGGAGGATTTTTCTGCAAAAATGATGAATGTACTGAAAAGACGTGGGTAGTATAGGAAAATGTGGAAAGGCCAATAGTAAACATTACCATTGTTGCCGTTTAACATTTCGGCTGTCTAGAAGAAAGAGCTGATTGGAAAAGCCAATCAACCAAACACCCTTATTAGCGGATTCATGTGGCCAGAAGGCCAAATATAGTCAAATAAGCCAAAAAAAACGGTTGATAGGATCCTAACCAAACACCCCCATAATAGATCCACATGGTTGTTCTACACGCTTAGAGGTGTAGAATGATGGTTGGAGGAATGGCTTCTGTCTAAAGGCGGACTTAGAAGTCAAAAGAGACTGATACACCACGAAATAACTTTTAAAGGGTTAATCTTGTTAAGATCTATTTTTGGGTTGTGAAACCTTGTTAGGGGCTTGTCTAAGGTATCCCTAAAGCTCTCACAAAGTTGAGGAGTTGTCGGATATATTGCCGGAGGTTCGTCGGAGGTTCTCCGGAGGCAAAGCGGAGAGGGTAGGATTCCATAGAACTCATTTAAGGTGAGTCTGACGGCTTAACGTCTAACACTTGGGTTAAATATGAGATTACCTAGAGAAATGTTACATGTATTCATGATGATGTTTAAAAGTGTTTAAGCGTGTAATTAATCGAAGTAATTGATTGCATTGGTTTTTTAGTGTTTATATTTTTACTTTTAATTAGTTTTTACAGTGTGTTGTTGTAGGTAATTGCACATTTACGGTGCGAACATTTTATCTTTCTAGAATTGTGAGTTATTTTCTTAACTTCTTCCCCTTGAATATTAATTCTTTCTTTATTCTATCTCTATATTAATGTTGGGAAGTGTTGCTAAATGACAATTAGTTAACATCTTGACATTAATTACTACTAGAGGCGATCAATGAACCAATGGTTAATCATTGATGGTTTCACAAGTAAGTAACTTCGGGTTATTAATGTATGGTCTCATGGTTAATAATCTTAAGATAGATTAATTATGTTGATTAAACAGAAATTGTTGTGTTTTAATCTCATAAGTGGTTCATCTTAGTGCTTTTATTATTAAATCAAATCAATCATAAAACCTCCCTCTTCATTACAAGTTATCATTAAAGAAAAAGTATCTTTTTCCCTATGGATGCGAACCTTACTTCACTATATTACGTTAAGTGTTAAGTATTGATTTATTTTGAGGCC